CATCAAAGCAGTCTTAGAGCGAAAACGGCTTGCCTTGTGACAAATAATCTCCTTTGTGCTTCCTAAATTATCAGTATGTGTTGTCTGTGATCGTTGAAGTGTATCTGTCATACAAATATTTTTAAATCTATCTATTGTACGTGTGCTCGTTTCTAGTTAATTAAAGCCAAGTTTCTATTGGTATTTCGTTTCCATGTATCACCTTGTCGTCGTTCCGTCAATGTGAGCGTTAGAGGTGGGTAATAAATAACGTCACGATAAAAAAATCACAGTGATCAGCCGTCAAATAGTATCACCGTGACTTTTTACGAAGGAACGACATTCCAAAATCATATAGGTTGTTCCTCCGTTCCACTGTCTCTGTCACTCACATCACGACATACGCATATGATGTATTTTACAAAATCATGCGCGATCAGAGACTGGCGGTTGCACTGCTCAATGTAGTTCGCTTTTACTTTTTAATTCTAATTATGAACAAAGAAATAATTAGATCAGTGTAAATATCGTGTAAATGTTGTAAATACAAATAAGATAATTGTACAAAATAGAACAAAAATAAAAAACACGCCGCATGGTCTTATTAACGAATAATGCGACAAACCTGCAAAATTGTGAATCAATTTTTTAAATGAAATTAAACGTTACATCAAAGTGTTTATTAATAACGACTGTTAGAAAGTACCTAGCCGCTGCCAAAACCGTTTATCGTGATGTAAGTGACAGGCGTGACAAAATCACGGTGATTTGTCACTGTGATTTTTTTGTAACGGGAACGACTGTCACGGGCATAGAAATGTAACGCTTTTCCCCATGTCTAGTGAGCGTCAATGTGCGGGGCGTGGTGCGGTATCTAAAGCTAGGGAGGGGCGGAGAGGGTCCATTTTCGTTACTTTTTTGTTCTCTGCTATTGGAACCGCTGTCGCCAAAACGCACACAAACAAGTGATAAACACTACGAAATCTTGATAATGATTGGTCATAGTTTCTAATCTAAAAAAGACGTAACAAATTCTGGATTGTTAATATAATTTAAACTTTACCCAGTCGCTATATTGTTCAAAGTTCAATACCTTTGTTGCAAGTTACGACGTTTTGATTTCGTATTGAAATTTTATTCAACGTGCTGCCATCTTGCAGCCAATTGCTGGACTACGACGAACGTTTAATATCTGAACCAATTCAATAAACAGAAAATTAAAATAAGACTTACCGATGATATGGAATCCTATACGGGTAATGTTTTTGGCACGGCTATCATTGTTGCACTCCAAAACAGCACAATAATGCATTTTTCTAATTTTAGAGAATTTGCCTAAAAGTATGACACGACCATACCATACAAGGCGAAAATGGCGAAACGACACCTAAATAGGCCAAATATTGCAATTTTGCTAAAAGCAATTCATTTACAGAATTCCTTGTAATTCTGTAGCAATTCCTCTTATTTTCGTAAAATGGTCCCAAATTCCGATGAATTGTATCCTTAGGCTATATTTTTTTTCCATTCTCTAAGATTATATCCAATTCAATTCACCAGCAGATTCTGCTTAGACGTTATAATTGCCACATCAAAAAAAGCAAAACCGTAACTTTACCGATTATTTTAGTTTTGATTTTATAATATTCGTAAATGGTTTATTACGAGAATTTACTGTAAACAAGTACGTTCGTCGATAAAACAACTACATAAAAAGTTTACATCACCTAGAAACCAAGAATTTCATAAATTTTCAATGATTCGGTTGGCAATAAGTTAGAAGTTGTCAACGTCAACAACAAAAAATCTCAAATAATGTTCTTAGATTTTAAGTGGTTTAGATAATGTTTAAAATGTGTTTTTGTGATCAACAACAAAGCTTCCACTTATGATTGACATAGATTGATTGCATCAGTTTACAAAATGTTGTATTGTTGTAATCAACAAGTCAATTAATTCGTGAAAATAAAACAGTAAGTGATATAATTGAAGTTCTTTTTATTTATTTTCAAAGCGATATGCGATCATTCTAATAATTAATTTCATATTTTTAGATATGGAGAGATGTTCAAGAGTATCTGATGGTCTGTGGACCATTCTGCTTGACTTGAAGCGCAACCACACCACCATCTAGCTAGGGCTCAGTGTTATAATAATAGTACTACGCGAGGTAGAGCAGAAAATAAACGCGTCAGAAAGTGTGCAATATAAGTAGTGAATAGGCAGGTTTGGGCTCGCGTTTAGTGTTCAAATCTATAGAAGATAGGTCTAATAATACGTCTGTAGTGATTCCAAGACTGGATCGACTAATACTTTGTAACAATAGGGCAATGAGCAATTTTTGCACATTTTCTGACACGTATATGTAGTGAATAGGCAGGTTTGGGCGCGTGTTTAGTATGCACATCTATAGAAGATAGGTCTAATAATACGTCTGTAGTGAGTCCAAGACTGGATCGACTAAGACTTTGTAACGATAGGGCACTAAAGGTATGGTCCCATACAAAAAATACACATTTTATATTTTTCCTACTAAACTATAAGATTTATGGCAAAATGTGATATGACAATATTTAATTAGGACAATAGGACTCCTCGTTTGCCTTTTTTATGAGAGGTATCTTGAAAAAAATCCAATGTCCGCAATGTCGCTAATCCGACCTACTACGTCGCAAAGTTTAGAGAAACATTGTGTACCTGCCTGTCCTCAGTTACGTCAATTTTTTATGTACTTAAGTGATTTCCCAAATCCCGAACCTAATCCTCCCGAAACCGAAATCCAGGACCTTAAGATTACTTAAGACTGACTTAATATTACCCTTTATTACATTATGTTCTTCCTGAGTTCGTGGAAAATTGATGTACTTTATCTTAAAATGGTTATTGTTAAAGGCCACTGTTACAGCTCTCATGCATTTGGAGATATGGACTTGGTGCATTTTGTGGTACACCTACACTAGCTCCAATAAACCGAGATGCTTAAAAACTTAATGCAAGTGCATTGAGTTTATTAAGTAATAGGTACCTTATACAAAACAGTTAATCAAAAATGGAAATAACGTGTATAGTGTATAGTGTAATAAAAATACATAATAAAATGTATAATAGTTCCGTGACTCACTCGCGCTCGAAAAAGTCTTCATATAGTCATCAGCAATTTTTAATTAATTTTCTAAATAATATAACGAAAAGAATAGTAAAATGTTGCTCTCGAGTAACTTCTTACGATTCTGCTGTTTCGACATAAAAGCAATTCCTATTTTTTGGACCATTTTACGCATTTCCATAGAACAATGTCAAATAGCTGAATTGCGATATATGAATTGATAGCAATTCATAATATGAATGTCAGTTAAGTGATCTATTTGCGATTTGAAATGTGAATCGCATTAGGATCGTATTATGATTCTGCCAATGCGGCCTTTTTAGGCTTGCGAGCTCAAGTAGGTCTTTCGAGACCTATTGCTGGCACGCGTCAGACGCTAACTAACCACTTCTACTGTAGTTATTGTTGTGTGGCACGGAAGATTTCGATAATTATCTTTTTGTTGTAAAGTTTGTACCTCACTATAGGTACCATTCAACTATAAAGAAAATATTCTACATCCAAGTATGGCATATTAAGGGAATCCCGTTTATTGCATTTTACCAATTTCAAGTTGTTTTTTTTATAATAAATAATTGACACGACGAACAAGTTGTGCGCCTGATGGTAAGCGACACGCCTATCCATAACAGCTGCAGTACCACTCTGAGCATTAAATCACAAAGATCTGAGGGGCACTGCTACTGCGCCTGACACCCTAAAACATAAGTTGGCAAGTCCCATGTGCCTGTAATTTCACCCCTGAAAAACAAAACGCAGTAGTCACATTACGTTTGACGGCAGAAATAGGTAGGTCCTCAATTTGGTCGTGATAAGCTCTCTTTGATCTGACTCTATCAACTTTGCTTGGCGCCGCCTATAAGAAAATACGGCAAAGAAGTCGTTAAAAACCAAACAAAGATCTGCAACAAACACATGGAAGAATTCGTGAGGTCCGTTGGTTCGTTCTGTGGTTTAGTAGGCATAGCGTCTGTCATGGTTTGTTAGGAGACGTTGGATCATATCCAGCCGGATCGAAGTGAATTTTTTCTAAGTGTTCGATATTTGTTGCCAACATAAGTTGGCAAGTCCCATGTGTCTGTAATTTCACCAGCACTCTTTACAACCGGAACGCTGTAATGCTCACACTACTGCTTGGCGGCAGAAATAGGTAAGGTGGCAGTACTTCCCTGGACGAACTCTTTCACAAGGAGCTCTAGTGCCATTGCTAGTTTTGTTACGTCTAGTAATTCCAGTGAAAATAAAATATTATGGTGACCTGGAGCTAAACTGATGGTGGAAATGGCAGACACATGAGAGGAATTCCTCAACAGTGCACAGCATCTAACTTGTGTTTGGACTCATATGATTCGTTGAGGAGATAGCGGTAAAGAACACGGCGAAAGCAGCTGCCTTCGTGGCCAAACGGTTACTATATGCGGACTACCACGCAGAGGTTCGATTACTGGGCCGGGAGGAATATTTGTATGGTCTACATTTATTTCTCTCGTGAGTTTGGGTGTAATTTATGGTTGTCTAGTGCGGGGCTATGTTGAGTGTGTGCGTTATTATTATTATTATTGAAGATAAGTAAAGTTTCCGGGTCGGTTATTTTTATAAAAAAATTATTAAAAATCAAAATGCAAAGCTTCGGAGCTTTTCGAGATTTTTTCGTTTGTTTACCATATGCATTGTTACCCTATATCATTATATTGTATTATATACTAATTTTCACGTTCATGACATCGCTAAAGCCAATGAAAATTTGTAGTAGTTGATGTACTATAGTTGCTATGAATGTTTTTCCACGATGGGATGAATTAATGTTCGCCGTTATCGATAAGTTGTGATTATGACGCATGAATAGTGAATGTTATAAGGTTTTAACGATCAATAATAATATTATCGCCAATTAGATCACTCGTATCGAAATCAATTCGTGAAGTACCGCGGCTAGATTTTATTCTTCTAAGTTGACCCTTGTTAACTGAAGTGTACGCGACTTGACGTACCTACACGCTGTCTCGTGTGTCCATGCGTGGGTACACCCAGTCAGTATCACGAGAGCCAATGACAAAGAGTGGACAGCCAGTGCCGAGCCAGTGTTCTCAGGAACGAAAGTAAACATAACAAGTGGCGACGAGATAAAAGGTAGGAAAAAATTGTTTATAAGAAAATCAAAAAAATAAATGTCAAGATATCTATACTGAGTATACGTCACGGAATATATATCTCCGTTTTTACATTTTAAATTGTTTCCGTTAACAAAAAGGCAAAAATTAAAATCATACAGCTAAACGTTGAACAATATTTTTATAAACCTCAATTTTGAGACGTGCTTGCCCTTGTTCTTCCAGATTCCTATAGCTTGAACAAATACAAATGCGAGAGTAGAACACCGGTGTGACAAATATGTATAGTGTCAGAGAAAAAAAAATTGAAAATGTGGTGATTTTCGTTCGTATAAACATAAAAAAATTCGTCAAATATTGATGAACAGACTTAGCCGTTAAACAAAACCATAAATTACACACATTTTAAACTTATTGGCAATGACAAAAGTTCATTCGTTACAAAGTTATTTGTTTTTATTTTTTTCCGTTTTTATGTTTTCACTTCCGCCATATTCGAACCTACGAGATTTTTACACTAGCGCGGTTGCTTTGATCGTGGTGGCATTGATTTTTAACCGACTTCAAAAAAAGGAGGAGGTTCTCAATTCGACTGTATGTTTTTTTTTTTTTTTTTTTTTTTTTGTATGTATGTTACGCGATAACTCCGGTATTTGTGAACCGATTTCGATGATTCTTTTTTTGTTGGAAAGAGGGTACCTTGGATGTGGTCCCATTTCAATTTCAAGGAAATATTCCACCTCTAAGGGTGGCTGTTCACGCATGAAGATTTATTATACAAATAGCGCCTAAACTTTATACGGAGTAATTGTTTTAATAGTTGATTTTACTATGCGAGTACTTTAAGTAGTGAACACCAATTTTTTTATTGTCCTATGTTAAGTCCCGTGCACGGTCCTAGAAGCCGGATTTTGTCTACCTGAATTCAAAAATATATAACATTCAAATCAAGAAAATAAGTGAACTTAACTGCTAGTCGTCAAGGTCGTGGATATAGGCTGGTGAAGATGTACATAGCCCTTTTAGTATGTTCCACGACAAAGGCTATCCACATTCAACTGGTTGGTGACTTGACAAGCAATCATTTCTTGGTGCTTACAACGACCTTTCAAAATTTTTTAAAAGTAATTGTGATTCGTAGTCGTCGGAGGCCACCAATGAAGAAATAAATTTTTATTTGTTTTAACCGATTTAAAAAAGAAGGAGGAGGTTCTTTCTTCTACTGTATTGTAATATGTATGTTCCACAATAACTCCAGCATTTGTGAACCGATTTTTAACCGACTTCAAAAAAAGGACGAGGTTCTCAATACGACAGTAAGTTTTTTTTTGATGATTCTTTTTTGTTGGAAAGATGGTACCCCAGCATTGGTCCCATTTGAATTTGAAGAAAATATTTCACCCCTAAGGGTGATAAACTAGGGTGATGAATCCGGTTTCGCGCACTTTCCGTTAACCGATTGTAATAAAACTTGGCACATAAGTGTAATTACAAAGGAAATAAAATGTTATGGTCATCTAAAGTTGATATGATGATGGAAGTGGCAAACGGATGAGAGGAACTCCTCAATAGTGTACAGTAACTACATTGTGTCTGGGCTCATATAATTCGATCGAGGACTACCTGCTTTTCAATTTTCCTGCTTTTGCTTCCTCAAGCCATGGAACGAACACAACGAAAACGGGGTACTAGCAGCAAGACAGATCTTAATATTTTTATGGAACTGTCATTTGTGGTATTAATATAAATCAAAACTAGTATTTGGAGAGATTACGCAGCCTCGTCATTTCGGTCAAAGCTTTTTCGTCATGGGGTCGACTTAATAATTTATTTGCATCCAAATCAGACAACTATGCCTTCTAAAGTTTTTAAGCGACTGAGGGCCACATAAATTTGTCCTTTTACAAAATTATTTTTTCCTAAATCAATTACTGCTTTATCAAGGGTGGTACCTTGTAATTTATGGACAGTTACTGCCCAGTTTAAGATGAGCGGTAACATTCTGCGCTCGACATCTCCATATCCTTTTTGTGCTTGAAATTTTGTGCAAACAGGTGAAACGGCTACGCAACCGTCATCATCTTTCATTCTTAGTCCAATACTCGCGTCATCAAATTTTATAAGTACAGCTTCAGGTAACTCGCCTTCCTCCATTTGATCTCTTCGGAGAGCCGGCCATTAAATTTTTTTAACAATACCCATAGCTCCATTCACAAACCCATCGGATACGGAAATATTACGCCTTAACATAACTCCCGATTCGACACCCAAATTAATAGTTGGTAGAAAACCACCGCAGTTATTAATGTCTTTAGGAATAGCATTGTCTGGTGGCTTTCTGCCATAAGTTGCCGCCTCACGAGACTCGTCTACAGTATTTATTCTGTACGTACGGTGTACCTTGGCATTTTCAGTTGTCATTTTTTCATTATATGTGTCAACTTGTCTAACAGTGGGGAATATACGGACAGCTATTCTCATTTTGCGAACTTACGTTGAATATGCGTCAACAAAATGACATTGAGTTCATTCATCTTTTGAATAGCTTGCGGGTTGGAGAATTAACGACGGCTCAGCTGGAGTTGCTTTGTGAGCGGCGACACATTCCTATATCAGGTGACTTCGCTGATGGAATTACACGCGCGTGTATCAAGTCGAGCCGATGAGAACGTCGCTCCTCGGTTTCGTTTGATAAACGCGCGTGTATCAAGTCGAGCCGATGAGAACGTTGCTCTTCGGTTTCGTTTGATAAACGTTCACGACTTTCTGAGCTTTCATTAAGCCGGGAAAAATGCGTATGTTCCTTCATTCGAGAAAGTCTATTGTCCCGCTGCTCAAGACTCTCGTTTGAAATATTAACAGCATTTCTATCTATTTCTTTTTAAACGCTCGTTCTTTTCTACACAAGTTTCCTCCAAACGGCGCTGTCTCATTTGCGCAACGCGCTTAGAAGGTCTACCCATTTTTAGCAAATTAGCAAATTGCATTCACTCTACCACTAAAAATTGAAAAATAAAGTAATTTTTATAACAAAAAAAAAACCGACTTCAAACTTTGCTTA